CTTTAAGGCCGATCAATGTAAATCCATTCCATGCATCCTCTCTCTGTTTTTTCCGCTTAATTTCATTTTATTGTTTCTTTATTTAAATTTAAGAGGAATTAGAAGCCCCAAAAGCTACACAATATTCTGATTCTTTTGTTCTTTTGATTTAAAAACTGGATGCATAAACTTAAAAATTTGAGCTTGCATCTGGGCTTACTGTAGTTTCTAAATTCATGGTTTTAAGTTATCTTTTCTGCCTGTCTTGCTTGTCTTTATACCATTGCAAAGTAACCTATTCCAAGGTCTCTGATTATTCCTGCAAATACAGGTAATATAGAATGTTTCCAAACCAGCAACAGAAGAAAAAGAATAAAGTTTTCACCGACGTTGACAACACAGAAGATAATTAATTGCTTAGATTAAGAAAAGGAAAAATTAGTCGAACTCGTAATCTCCCTTGATAAAGGAAAAATTAGTCGAACTCGTAATCTCCTCTAGATTTTTCTAAGTGTTTTATCACTCGAATTATTAATTTTATATCAAATGTCAAATTATTTTATAGTGATTATCAGTTTAAATCATAATAATAATCTTCCCGTAAAATTTGTCAATATAGAACTTCCCAAATCTCAAAAATGGAAGAGTTCCAACTTGAATGACATTCTTCCTTGTGGTTATTAGTTGTCCTTCCCTTCCCACCCATGTGATGTACATGTTTTAGGGCGTCCTTAAATTGGTGCTTTCCAACTAAACGTTGTAGTCAATACTTACTGGTAGAGATGGGTTATTCTTAAGCATATGGATAAGCATCACCCTTAACCCCTACCGCACTCACCCACTAAGGAGGAAAAATGAATGAAAAAAAAAAATTATGCCACTTACAAACATTAATTACCCACAAAATTTGTATCCATAGTGCATCTAATTCCATATCATTAACTTAATTTAATTTCTAGTTACCACATCTGCTCAACAGATTATCCTCTATGTTACCAACCAAACCTTGACATTGATCCTCTCCAATTCAAAGGAAAACTAGAGAGATTCAATCCACATTGCTTGAGGAGTATTAAAGTACTAGACTCGTTAAATGTTCATTTACAAGGATAGATTGTAAGATTCATAATTACTTGCCTAGGTCTCTTTTGAACAAGTGCTCCGACAACTAGCCCAAGTTTTGACATTTGGGAAATGCATCAATCATCTCAATCAAAAAGCTCTATAGCCGGCACATGCAGCACCTCCCAAAAGCAAGTATTAGTTGTAACCAACCAACTCTCGCCATCAAACGAAATTACTAATTAGCGTGAAAATTTAAGAAGTAAAAGAAGAAAAATTTACCTTTCACTGCATTTAAACATTGAACTTCGCTATTTCTGAAGTATTTAAATTGTATGTGTCGTTTTAAGGGCACTGTTGAATTCCTCTCTTAATATCTGTACTCTAAATCTTGTAAATATTCTTTTAAGTGTTTTTTTTTGTTTTTCTAGTGCTGGAGCAGATTTTTCTTGGAGTGCAGTTTGCATGTCACAAAGTATAAGGTTGCAATGGAGTAGTTGATGACCAAGATTGCCCTTTTTCCGTCGCTTTAAGGGCAACCTGACCTTGGAATACAAGGCCAACCAACCCAGGAGAGAGTGTGTTGTCCAGCTGAAGTGGACGAACAATCACATGCTGGGGTACATTTTTTCTTCTCTACCCAATTAGGGCGGTGGGTCCTCCCCATATTGGTTTGCTCGGCTAGTGGATCCTTTACATCCCCAACACAGTTCATCAGTTGGTTCCAACATATCCCTCTGGCTGCATCATTCATGACGTGCACCCTCTCTTTCTTCCCTTGAACATTTTTTTAATTTTGATTCATCTGCGAGGTACATATTGAAGTGGGAAGATCAAACTTGAGACGATTTCTTAATAATAGGTTTTCTATCGGCGGTCTTAATCCCATGATCTAATCTTGATATTTGGGTTCTCCAACTTCTATGCCTACAAAACAATGTCCACTATGCCATGTTAGACTGGTGACGGGGAGTCCATGTTTTTCATCTTTAATAGGTTCATTTTGATAAACTTGTAACCTTTTTCTTGTTGGATGGAGAGAAGAAACAAATTTCAATTGGTGATTTGAATTTGCCTAGGGTAAATTCAAGGTCTAGTGGAGAAAGATGGGTCAAATTCTTGATATCCGGATAATTTGACGTTTTGTCCTTTCAGAAAACCATGTGTTTGCAAGGATGAAAACAGAGAACATGCTCTGGTTGTGCTTGTAACGCAGGGAAGAAAATCTTTGGATGCAATTTGCCCTGATTATCTCAGGATAATCTTAATTTAGTCAGCTTGAATTATTTTGGCAACCATCTTAGCTAAAAGCCACCCCACCCGAAGGTTAAGGAGATTCCAAAATTTAAGAATTTTGGATCTTAGTCTGATATATCTTTCACTATAAACAGAAGCTGCAACGGGAAGAGAGGGAATGATCTTGGGGACTAGGAGAGGCAATTTGAGTTTCCTTTTATATTCACATCTTAATTCGTGTTAAATTATGTCTGCACCAAAATATTTCAAAAAATTTAGAAAATTACTACCAATTAATTTACAATAGAAATGAAATAACCGTGTCTAATGACTTGGTGGATATTTTCGGGTCTTGTATTCATATTTCTATCAGTAACAAAGGAATAGCAGCAGACTTATGTATGGAGAAGACAAGTACATCACCGTAGGTTTTGAATTAAAAAAGAAAAAGAAATGACTAGGGCATGGCATCAATGCAGAACAAGGACGAGAGGAACCTTCCCCATCCGGTCCCTGAAGTCAATCGTGAGGGCCAGAGGAAGTGCTCCCCGTTTTTTCCTGAATACTATGTTCAGAAATGATTTTTCTCTATTTTAATCAGTAGGAGGATTTGGGTCCTCCCGAGGATTTTTTTTTCCCTCTATTCCTATCCTGAAGAAAAGGGTCAAAATTGAAAAATAAAGAATATAATTTTTTAGGCCAGATTATCAATCTCGAAAGATTGGAGAAAGACGGGAACTTGATCGGTCAGACTACAGAGCCTTGGATCTTTGCTCGATCAGACGAGAGAAGGGAGAAACCACCATGGTTGCAATGAATGTGGCAAGTAAAGCCTTCAAAATCGCCCCTCTAAAAAATGGGTTGGCTTCTCAAATCAGACTCACAAATTTGAGGTTGAAAGGATTGTCATAGCGTCGTATAAATCAAATCAGATTCACAAATTTGAGAAGGAAAGGATCATCATAGTCTCATCTAAGGTGGATCTGATCAATAAAGCCTCAGTTCTTAGCCAATAGTCCATGGTCAACTCGGATTTGTTACAATTTGACTAGATCTGTAATAGATCTCAAGAAATCTCTAAACATCTCAAGGAGATAGCAACATCAAAGACCAATAACAAAACAGAATAGCCAAAGAGTTTTTAAGGCCGGATCTTCATATTTACAAGAATACCAAAAGATGATGAAGAAGAAGAAGTGGGGGAACTTGTCAAAATCTCCAAGTCTGTAAGGATCTCAAAAGATCATAGACAAAGAACAGCTGAAAATGGGAGACTCGATCAGCCATGGAGAAGATACAGAGCTTGATGACAACCTTGGTTTGGCCGAGATTCCAAGAAAATGAAAGGTAGAAAGAGAACAGGACTGAACGAAAGAGAAGGGCAAGACTAAAGGGCACAAAAACAAAATTTACCCCATACTAAAATGAAATGAAGTATGCAAGTACACTATCATGGGCTTTTCCACTTAGAAATGTCATTGATCACCTTATATTAACACAGATTTTGGGACATTTATTCAGAATAGCAAAGTCACCAAAGCATTTTATAAAATAAGGATATCATCTAAAATGAAAGTCAAAAGACAGACAAAAAAGGACCTCAATTGACCCTAGGCTTTCCCAAGATTTTTAGTAAAACACCCGGTAAAGGATATATGGGCTAGATCCATAAAACCTCAGAAATTTGGTAAGAAAAGCTCAACTGCCTAGGAAATTGATGAAAAAATAAGTCATTATTGGAAAAAACTTAAGCACGTTAAATTTCTTCTCACACTTACCATATAAATTCACAGAAAATAGCAGGTAACCACTAAAGAGCTGCTTGCTATATTGTTTCAAGGAACCACAATAACCAAGGTGAAAAAACGGAAGTAGTACTATAGGGAAGGGGGAAAAAAACCACAACAACAATCACAAGCTAGCAGACGGCCATAGTTGCTAAAAATCACAAACTATTTTTTGACCACTTGACAGTGTCTTGCAGAAAAGTGATTACAAGATCATAGTTACTAATAGTGGAGGATAAAGACAACTCTGCAAGTTCTTGGAAGGACAGACCTGAAAAATTCCAAGACAGAGGCATTTAATGGGGAAGCCCTTCTCTAATGGGGTGACAGACACAGCAGATTCATGCACATCTAAAATCCTAGTTAATTACTAGTGTCAAATTAATTTCATATAGCTAGCCTGCAGTCAGTGTTAACCAGGGACCAGGAAATAGAAGAATGCAACTTGTACTAATAAGTTCTCATCTCATCCTTATCTGCCTGTATATCTACAGATTAGCTCCATCGAGGAAAAGCAGAATAGAAGACAATCAAATAAGATAGAAGCAAGAATTCCGTAATTCAGGTATATAGTGAAGATGAATTTTGGAATGATGAAAACTCCCTTTCTCTGAATTTCACATTTGCATGCATAAGTATAAGCATACCCATAAGAGGGGTAATTGGGACATCCACTAGGATGGGAAATCCTGACTGTTGAAGATGATCTCGCTTGATAGCCAAATGTTTTCTACCTTTCATCTTTCAAATGTAAAGGAAGGAGAAAATAAGAATGCGTGTGATAATAAGAAAGCCAGAGTTGAAATGCTGTGTTGAAAACTAAAACAAAAAATAGGAAATTAAGGTCTTAGAGCGAATCGTACACGTGCATACCCAATAACTTTACAAGACACTTGAATTTAGAAACTTATTGTTCTTGCAGGGATGTAACACAGGTCAAAAATCAGAACTGCGGAAAACTCTGGAGAGCTCTATTGAAGCAAGCTCTTGTCCAAGCACAGTGAACCATGGGTCATAGTGGTAATGCAGTGAAGTTTGCGTGTATGTGACCTTCGAATTCTCTGAAACAAAAATAAACATTGTAATGTTTAATAGCCTTCGTGTCCTGTGAATTGTAGTCCAGAGTCGGATGGATCATGGATTACAGAATGGAATTTCATGTCACACCCAAGTTACTATGAGCCCTGACAATGAAAGCACACCTATATCAGCATGTCATTATATGTACAGATCAATTAATGGCCTTGTGCCTATGCTGCTTCTGCCTTTTGCGTACATCGTTGGTCTAGTTCTACTAATTTTGGATGATATGTGTTGCACCAACTTTGGGTCCATTAAACAAACAATCCAGCAACGGAACAGTGACATTCCAGTGAGATAGTGAAAATTATGCACAAACGAAAATTTTATCAACTGAATCACGGGAACAATAGCAAAACAAGTAAATCGACTCAATTTCACTAAATAAATACGAAATCTAATCGCACTCAAATATAGCCAGACAATTCAATTCGATGTGGCAATAATCGCCGGCAAGATTTGCTCGTTCGACGCCGCTTCATCCCTCCAAATTCTGAGAATCATTGCAATCATCGGAAGCAATTCTTTCGATCACGAGGAAGAGGACACAAACAATCGAATGTCCTCGAGAAAGCTCCGATTCTTCGGCCTTAAAGCCCTCCTTACATACTTGCACGCCTCTTCCGTGTACACCTCAAACCCTAGCCACCCGTTCCTCCGCCACATATCCTCCGCGAAGCTCCGGTGGGCGTAATACGCCTCCGCCTCCACCACCGTTGCCCCTCCGCCGCCGCCGCCGATAGAGGAATCGCCGTCGGGGAGGAGCCGAATCGGTAAGCGCTCGTAGTGGCCGACGGAGATGCCCTCGAGCTCGTCGAGCCGGGTTAACCCGTGGTCAGATACGGCGTAGAGCTCGCCCCTGACCCGGTGGCGGCCCAACCCAGACCCGGGGAAGTTGAGAAGAAAGGGGACGCCGTGGGGCCCGCAGACGAGGGGCAACTCTTCGGCGGTGCGGTAGGTGCCGAGGAATGCGGCATCGTTGGTAGAGAACAGGGACTGGAGGAGGCCGTGGTTCGCGAAGCCTCGCTTCAGGGTTCCGTAGGTGAAGATTAAGTTTGGCGGATTGTGCTGAGCTTCGTCTCTGTGTGACATCTCCCTCCCCTCTGCGGCCCCGCCACCGATGCGCTGCAGACTGCTGTCCGGTTCCTCCAATCAACTGAAGAGAGAGACTACTCGGGAACTTCTGCTTTGTGCCTTATGGCTTTATCGTCTCTGGGGCTTAGAATGGGCCTCCAGGCCCATTACTGGTTGGGCTCGCTCCTCTCATTCAAAGGCCTATTGTCACCGATAGAGGTGTTCACGGTTCGGTTTGGTGCGGTTTGATACTCAAATTCAAACCAAATCATACTTTACGATTTGAAATTTTTATAAACTAAACTGAATCATGATTTACGGTTTGGTTCGGTTTCAAATCACGGTTTGTGATTTACAAAATAAAATGAATTAAATTCCCTATTTTATAAAAATTTTAACATAATTTTCCTAAAAATTGGTCATCTATTTTTTCCCCAACATGTTTAATTTAATAAATTCATTACTTATTAATTAACTATAGTAATTATACATTTTATAATAAATATTTATATTATTTTATAGAATTTCACTATTACTAATAGAAATTATACTCTAAAAAATAAAAATAATCAATTATTAAAATGAATATAAACATAAAAGATAACAAAAAGAAAAAATATACAGTCAAACAATAAAAATATACTATATATATAAAGATAAAATTTTAATTTTGTATATATATAAGCTATACGGTTTGGTTCGGTTTCATACGGTTTGTCCAAACATCAAATTCAAACCAAACCACACTCTACGGTTTGGTTCGGTTTCATACGGTTTGGTTCGGTTTATGCGGTCTAATCGTTTGGTTCGGTTTGTTGAACACCCCTAGTCACCGAAGTAAGCAAAAGCCAAGGATTTTTTGTTTTTAAATAAACTTGAAGATTGGTTTATTTTACTCTCTGAAATAATAAGTTCGGTCTATTTCTCCGTTCCTCGCTAAAACATTCTATTTTGACTCTTTTTTGACTTGGCACACACTCTCACCTATTTAAGAAATCTGTCCCGTGCACTTGCACCTTTTCCTCGCCTGCTCATGCCCCTTGGCTCTCTCCCGCACGTCTGCTCCGTAGATCCATGCACTTGCACCAGCACAAGCCTTCAGTCCTGCGCCTGCTCGTTTCATATGCACTGCACGTGCTAGACCCTGCTCTTGTCCTCACTTGCGCGCCTGCTCTTTGCGCGTGTAGGCCAAGCATCTTCTTCCTAGTCTCTAGTTCAGCTTCTGTAGCTCTTGCTGGAAGTCCTCTCTCTCTGGTTGCTCTTAGATCTCCTTCCACTAGGATCTACCCCTTTGTTTCTTGAGTCTAGCACAAATTAACCCAGAACCCAGAACACACGCACTATATCAGGAAGAAGGGCGGGGAAGAAGAAGAAAAGGAAAGAGAGGAAACAATGACACCCGTGACTACAAAAGAACCATCACAGCCTTTCAACCTTCAATTTCACCCACAGAAATTACAAGGAACCTATTTCATTCTCTTTGTATCTTAGATTGAGCCTACCACAACTCTCAAAATCCAAATTTCACTCTCTTCAATTTCACCCTCTTGAACTCAACTCTCAGGAGAACAATAGGGCTTTAGTCTCTTTTATAGCCTCTCAATCCTATCTAATCGTTCAGATAACACCCCTTATCCAATAAGGTTGAATCTATTATTTACATTAAAACTAGTCTTCATTAGATTTGGCTTGGATCTAGCTGAATTTCGTAAGTCTATACAGGCAAGCTTTATCTTCTTCCACAATTCCGAATCGACCTAATCCGAACAACTTTGAAGCTTCCAAGCTTATCTTTGGGATTCTCCTTGATTCGAATCACATTCTCAACTGCTTGTCTGAACTCCATCTTTACGAAAATCTTTGGCCACTTCAATCAAGCTTTTGTCGCACACGACAATTTTTTCAAGTTTCCATTCGTTGAACCATGATTGACTTTAGCTGGCTTTGATTCAACCTTCTCTAGTGTTAGTCCTGCCTTCCTCAGCGTTGTCGATGTTGATCGAACTTGTCACGGCCATTGTCTTCTTCTTGCAAAGCTCCTAGAGTTCTCTATGATGGCGACTTGACCTGTCTAGGCTACATTCACCTGTGTTGGCTCGGTTTTCTAACCCAGGCTTGCTAGTTCTAGCCTACAAAAATTAGAGGTGGAAGTAAGTTTGTGCAATAATTTCTACAAAACTTTTTAGATTTGAGAAATCTAATTTGTAAATGTTATACACTTCTAGAAAGGCATGAAATGATGCTAAATGGAGAGCCAATGAGGGCCTAAGGGTAGACATGAAGTTACAAAAGCAATTAAGATTAAATGGAAGTTAAACTTCAAAACTAAGTCTTAATATGAATGTTGAAAAATTTCTGCAACCTAAGAGGGTAAAAGAAATAAATTTTGAGCTACCAAATAACCTTTAAAGGAGCTGAAAAGTGGGCATAGTCTAGGCTAATGAAAGGGGTTGACTTGAAGTTAAGAAAGAAAACAAAATTAAGAATGACGGTGTGGCTAGTTGAGAGAAATGAATTTTTAGCACAGAAAGACTAGGATTGAACCAAGTAGATAGCTAAATTGCGTTACGTGTTAGGGTTAGCTAGTGGATTCAGAGATGATATGATTAATTAGAAGCTTAGTGATAGAAGACGGCTAAATTAAGGACTAAAGCTAAGGAAAAACCTAGTAAAGCAAAGGTGGTAAGATGCTGAAATTTTATTAGGAAAATGAAGTTAGCTAGAATGATATTTTGACAAGCAATAACCCCTTAGAGCTGAAACTTTAAGGTGCTAGAAGGGTTCCCACCTCAAGGCCTTAGAAGCTCATTAAAGAAAGTTTGGAATAAGCAAGCACACCAAGAGTAGAAATTTAATTTAGAAATTAAGTAAACCAAAGGAATAAGTCCTTAGTTAAATGCAACTTTATGAATGAATTTTAAGGAGACCTAGAATTGGATTCCACTTAAGGGTACCAAAAAGATTGAAAAGAAGATTTAGATAGTTTAAGAAAAGGGAAAGCAAGGAGGAGATAAAAAATGTAAACTTATAATTAGGCTGCAACTAAATTAGATGAAAATAATAAAACTTATGTAAAATCTCAGCATATTAGAGATAGTTAAACAACCTATAAAAGAGCTAGAAATTCACTTAAGCTAAAATTAAAGGAGATGCTAGTTAGGGATAAATCTTTTTCCAAGATAAGAACACAAATTTAGAAAAGATATGAAAGTATAAATGAGAAATATGTTACTTAACAGTTAGATAAAGCTTTATATTAAGAAATAAATAATTTAAGTTATGTTACAAGCATGCATTCATGATATAACATTCAGACATGCATATTTATTTTCCATAGGAGTAGATAGAGAACACGAGCACGGCCCTAATCTGTCAAGTCCAGTATAGCCCTCAGAGATTGTACACATAAAGTGAGTGGTACTTTTTGTCATGACCCAAAACAGAGAGCATGTGACCGGTACTATGGTGGACTTACCTACCTTACCTAACCTCCAGAATCATTACTAAAGTATGGAATTTTCAAAAAAATTTCGGCAAAACCTCCCCTAAAAACAAGACATATCGCAAATTTATAAATCTTAATAGCAACTCCAAGCAGTTAAAAGCTGCTGAAAGTAAAATCTAACAGTTTTTGACATATGCTACTATTTGCAACTATAGATTATCAACATGTATGTTTACAAGAAAACTAGTAACTAAGTATAACGAAATCAATAATAATACAATGAGCACACTAACTAGGAACGCAGGGAAATGAGATCCTGCCTGTGGACAAATGGAGCAACTTTTCAAATTCACTAACTTGTAACAACAACATTGAAAACAATACAAAAGTAACAAAATGACTACGACCAAGCACGAAATTAAATACAGGCTCACCAATCAAGAAACTTCTCAAACAGCAGACAAAACTGAACCTAGAGGGGGGAAAAAATAAAAAGGTGAGCTAACGCTCAATGAGTCATAATATGCAAATCCAAGTTTCAGAAACATGCAAAGAAACACTTTATTGTTGGCATAGACAGCCTAGTTCAATGTGTAAATCAACATCAACAGTTGAATCATTAAACGTCTAAACAACATATAAATTGCATACAGGCACACTATCGTAAGATCACATATACATCATGAAAACATACAAGAATCACTCATGAACACCTGACAAACAAAAACATGTCCTAGTACAGTATGCAGGAATCACAAGTGGGAATCACGGGCACCCATTGGCCCTATTTACCACTGTCCCTACTTATTACCGTCTTTACGTACCTCGAGTTAACAGAGTATCAAAATTCACATCACTTTTGAACCTTCCATTTAGAATACATTTCAGCTTATTCACAGATAGGTATTCATTACATTCATAACATAATTATAACACATAAAAAATGATAATCACATAGACAATTTATAAATTTTTAATAAAAAATGGAAATACATATTATTTCTTACCTTACTCCCTTGCGTAATCCTTCACATGGCTAGCAATATCAGCGAGCTGGCTCTTAGCATAGTTGACCCGATCCAAACGGGGTAGGTGCAACCCCAAAAGTACAATACCTCCATGACATTACTATCGCAACCGTCACGCTAAACCAAAAAGGCATAGGAAACTGATATCAGAGAAGAACTGTAACATTCCAAAACCCATTTCTTTAAAACTTTCATAACCACTTTTGCTTGGGTTTTAAATTTATTTAGAGGAAATTTTAAGGGGTTTAGGAATGAGGAGAGTATATTAGAAGTTTTAGGAGAAAGTGTGTTTTTTGTAAAAAAAAAAAAAAAAAAAAATTACTGTAGCACAGTTACTGTAGTAGTGCGCCCAAGTGGTATAGCATGGTAACTACTGGAATTGGTCTGCTATAGCGCTAAACCGTGCCATAGCGCACCGAGTCACGGTTTTGACGTTTTTCTTAAAAATTTAGAATTTTTAACCCCTTTAAAGATCCCTAAACCCTTTTGAACTCCTAAAAACTATAAAATAAAGATTTGGGAGATATCCTAGGATACCTGAAATT